TTATCATTCGAGCGATTCAGTTCACAGAAATAGCAATCAGAAGCAACGTTTCGAATTGGAAAAATGCAAGACAATTGCTAGTAAAGACACAATTGTATAAGATTGTGATGGAGAACAGAGGTTAATGACTGACGAATAATAGTATAATAGTTTCGAGTTGAATTTGACACGTGACCAAAGAAATTGGCGCACCGGAACAACGTTCGCGGATTTCATATTCGCGATATCACGTGTATAGAGAATCGCATATATAAGCATTCGCAAGCAGACAACCTTGAGCGTATTATCGAGTTCCTCCACATCGTGGTTCTACAGGTCTGGACAAAACGTTAGAATATTTTTGTTATTTCTTGAATCGTGGTCTAGTTTTTTTACTTATAAATATTATATAATTTTGTAATATGATTAACAGAATAAAATAATATTATAATAAATTTATTGGATAATATAAATTTAACATTAAGCATTCTTCATAATTTTTTATGAACTATCAGTAAAGAATTTTAAAACCTTTCGTGTCGATTTATAAAATATTTTATTTCGTTTGAAATCAATCGACGAAACTTTGATCTATTTCGGCAAAGTTCCAACATAGAAGAAAAATTAGGAGCTAAAACCAGCTTAGCGTAGCTGATTCATTTGGATTCGATGAGTAGTTCAGTGATTCATAGTCATCGATGAGTCGATCGAATTACGATTGAGAACCATCAAATAGCAGGGAAAGAGACAAAAAATGTTAATATGATATGAATGGTAAAGTGGATAAATAGAGAAATGATCTATGATATATATATAGGTATCAATGATATCGAAGACAATAGATGCGCTACATAAATATGCTGATGTACCGTACACGGTTGTTTTTGAGTCATCGCGTTTCAATGCTGAAGCAGTGAACGGGGGCAATGTGGCCATGCTACCAAGGGGTCGCACGCGTTTCATATGTATATACATATATATACATATGTATGTATATAGAAGAATATCTCTAAATCTATTCGTATATTTATATACATTAATACATATGTATATACAACGTACCACTTTCCATTTTTATTCCTAGTATATTCATATAAAATTTATTTGTTATGCTCGTATATTTCTATGTACATATATATATATATATTTTTCGAATCTTTTTTTTTTTTATTTTTCAAATTATTTTTTCTTAATTCTTTTAAATATAAATTTTATGTTAATTCTATAATAATCATGAATTTTGACCATTTAAGATCGTATGTTGAAAGAATCATTTGATTGCGTATTTGAAATCGTTCGATTCAATTAGCAATTGTGTAATAATAGATCCGATATATTAAATATCGTCTCTCGTGTTTACGATTGCAAATAAAAGATGTGACGAATTGCAAAGTAAAAACATACGTAACATTTATGTCGGGGGCATATGAGATTCTGTTTACGTCCCTGCGGTGTGCGTTCCGTCTCTTACTTCCCGCCCCCCTGCCCATAGTACGTCATCGAGTCGTATCTCGTATACATCGTTCGAACTCGCTTCGTTCGTTTGTCTTTGGCGTAAACCCTTTCTCCTTCTCTTTCTCTCTTTCTATATCTCGTATGTGCACATATGTGAAACTCTGCCAGTGTGTACTCGTGGATGACTCTTGTAACTATCTTCGTCAGTCATATAGCACTTTTTCGCTCGATGTGACACTGCGAGTAGTGGTTTGGGAGGCTTCACCACGGCGCCATCGATCCCTTTTGCGCGCGTGCTCTAACTCTGTTGCGCTCGTGGACGAGCGGACACGAGCATGAACGCGGGTGCCCGCGCGTGCGCGCGCTACACGACAAACGCGTTGGCAGAGCGGTCGTCGGTGCGCACATCGCGTACATGCATGTCCGCCATGGACTTCGTCTCGTCTCACCGCTCTTCGCCTCTCTTCGGTTGGTCTCGCTTCGCTTCGTCTCACCACGTTCGTTTCGCCTCGTCTCGCAATAGCTTGCCTCACCGCGCCGCACCACCGCGCACTACCAGCTTCCTCCCACGCCTGGGGGCCGGGGACCATCGCGGAGCGGCCATTCCTTCAGCGAACTTCGAACAGCGCGTATCGTAGTATCTTGTGTCCGCACGCGTCGCGCAATCGCAGTTGGAACCGTAACAGTGACCATAATCGTAACCACGCCTTTTTCCAAAAAACAAATAGTTGATAGTGTCGCGTACGTTGATCGAAAGTTAACGAATCAAGTTCTCAAGAAAGAAGCGGCAAAGTGTGAAGAAAAAGGTCGACGATCTGTTTTCGAAACAGAAGCAGAATCGGAGCAAAGTGCGCGCGACGACTTTTCCGTTCGTTTCGCTGCTATCGCGTAAACTCTTGACGTAGCAACTACTACTCTCACCTTGTTGGCCGTGAGACGTGATTATCTTCATGCTAATGCAGATACACCGCTTAACCTTCTGTGGTTCGATATACAGTAAAAGTTGCGTTATAACTTGTACTTCGCGTTTTAGTTGGTGATCGATGAAACACGAGAAAATATAGTGGAACCGAAAAGAAATATAATAAGAAAAAAAAGAGAGACAGAAAAAAGATTAGGAAAGAAGGGAATAGAAATAGAAATAGAAACAGAAGTGCGCGGCGGGTAGCAGTGTGGAATCGAAGATCGTCTGTGTGTGCTCGGTGACTCGATAGTGGAGGAGGAAACTTTATCTAGGGTTCATCGGCAAACGGTATCCCGGTACTCCGGTGCTCCCATGCTCCGGTCTGACTGTCGCGCCCGTTAGTGTGCCGTTCCTGTCCGTATGTGTGTTGTGCATAAACTCGAAACTTCCGATGCTTTGATCACATCCCGTTGCGTGCATTTACTCCGTGTTGTCCGTGTAGTGTCGAACTTATCAAGAATCGGGAATTACCGAGCTTGTTTTCGAGATTGTTTACCGAGGTGAAGTTCAAAGTGCGCAGTGACTACCCTAGCCGGGCCGAGTGGACGACGGACCGGGAAAAAAGTTTAAGGACAAGAGCACACGAGAGGATCGAAAAAATTTTTGGAGTAAGGAGTAAACGGTCGGTGAAACATCGCGTCGACATTCAACGAATCGATTGTGCGACCGTAATCGGATCATACGAACTCACATAGCGGAAGAAGATGTTTCGCGCGTACGGCGCTGCGCCGGCTGAGACACCTTCAACCACCGACATTTATCCATGGACCACCACGTTCCTCAATAAAGGTGCTTATTATCAAACATTGTCATAAGTTAATCGCGGATGATCGTTCATTCGTTTAGCTGCTCATTCCAGGAGCGACTAGGCTCGTGTGGCATTCGAAGGTCCTCTCGAATATCGCGAAGCGAACGCGCGGGGCGGTCACAGGTCCGGGGCACGATGACGCAACCACTCTCCGTGCAGCCTGGCCGTTTTCGGCTCGAGCCGAGAGTTCGTCGACGCGTGTCCCGCCACGTGATCGCATTTCGCATCTCGCACCTCGCGCATTCGCACATCCCATCCTCGCGTCTTCAGCGAACGCGCTACTTTCTTCCTCTGCTATTCCTGTCTCGATCGAATGATCGAGAAAAAAAAAGTCAATTTCCTCAAATCTCAATGAATTTATATTTTAAATTTTTATTCTTGCAACAAATTTACGTCAATTTTCATGCGTCGATGATGAGGAGGCGGTGTAGTAGGCGGTACTAAAGGGTAACAGAATGAGGGTAGAGTATTGGAAGGGGAAGATTGTCGATAAACAAATATCGTGAAATATATATAGTTCTCAACGATAATTCATTAAGTGGCTGAAAAACGTGAATAATATGAATTTTTGAATAAAATTTGATGTATTTACAACTTTCATATCGTAATATGTTTTATTTCACGAGTAAACTAACAAATTTATTTAAAACATGTATAAAAATATTTTCAATGATACAATTTAAAAAGAGATCATTGTTGTTTTTGAAAAACATTGAATCGAATAACTCGATAATAGAATGTATAAATATACGAGCTTATTCAATGATCTATAACTTAAAATGAAATGTAAACCTATACACAATCACGTGAATGTGTATTTGTTTGTGCACGTGGCAAGGACGCATGTCACGCGCGGGTCTCTAGTATTGCATCGTGTCGAATCATGTCCTGTCGTGTCGTGTCGAAACACTTGAACGATTCCCATTGTAGATTCTCGTGAAAGAGAGTAATCTTATAAAGTTTAAAAGATTCGTCGTCCCTCCACTTAGATGCCCTGCACTTGTTTCATACTGAATCAAAATAAAGTACGCTTTTGCACGCATTTTATGAAAACGAATGTTATTTCAGATTTTATGAACTATATTTTTACACGAACACAATCAAAATATTATAAATATAATATAAATATTTATGATTATTATTATTTTTTTTTATTTTATTTGCATCATTGACATTCATATTGTATAACTTGACATTTATATTAATACGTAATGTTAAAATTATCTATCTAAGTTGTTATTTTATGCTCGTTACAATTTTTCATGGCTATTTGTTTTCTTGCAGTGATATATCGCGTTTTTCTCTCATCCTTTATTTCGTTCGCTTATAGAGTGTCTTGACCTGACTTGACCTGCGCAACTTTACACTCTACCCCACGGGAAAACCTCCTCTCTCTGTTCGTACACGGTTTGTTCCAGGTTGCTTACTCCTCCCCCTCCTTCCTTCGCCTCTTTCCTTTGGTAACGCCTCATCAAATATTATGGATACTTTTTATTTCTTTCTCTTCTTCTTTTTTTCGTACATTCATTTGTAACTGTTTTATTTGTTTTTTTTTTCTCTGTTCTTTTTTCTTCTGTCTATCGCATTATCAATGTTTTTTCGTTATATATTTTTAGTAAAAAAAAGAGCAAAGAAAAAGATAGATTCGTATTTTGTCGAGTTCGAGCTTATCTTGAGAAATAAATCTTAATGAAAAAAAGATTCATGTCAACGAGTAGAAATAGAAGACGGATAGAAATAATGGAAAGAAATGGAATGATACGCTTATACACTATGTTGCAACATTTATATCAAATCAACTACACTTAGCATTTCTTATCAAACGTATTTCCTCTTCTTTTTATCTTCTATGCTTTCCACTAACATTCCGAAAAAAAGCAGAAAGTTGTTTGAGAATTCTTGAGGAATGAAGAAAATTTAAATTTTATTTATAAAAAATGAAGATGAATTTTGCGGATAATTTAAATTTGGCGCGTAAAAAATGACACACATTAACAATACAATTTGTTCGATAAGTAACAAGATCGAAAATTATCGAAGATCGTAATGGAAAATTTTTCGTTTTGAATAATCAATCTATCGGTGAATTAATTTAATTAGAAATACGACCGTGACTGAAAGTGATTCAAAGTTGTACGTGTATCAATGAGTTGGCGAAATGGGACAGAGGCACATGATATAACCTCTTGAATTTTATAACGTTGAACTTTTCAACGTTAAATTCGAACTATACGAAATGTTTGACAATTCGTAGTTGATTCTTCTACGTTGAATAAAGTGCCCCTTTCTCCTTTACGTTGTTTCCCAACGACTTGTCCCTTGTCGCAATAGCCTCGACCGACTTTCGAAAATGACACGGACAGTGGCAATCGTTTCTGTGTAACGTTTTGGTTAGTCTCGATTGAATCGAATCGATTTTGTTGAATGGAACGAAGTTCTATTATAAATCAAGTGTTGACGAATCTTTGTCTAGATCGTCTGTTTCGACCGTTAATTAAGGACTTAGTCTTATATCTATCGATTACAAATCGAAAAATTCGAATCTTTCATTTTTAAATAATTTTTCCCGATCGATCATTAGAGAATTAATTTTCTTTTAGAGAAATATTTTTTATCTGACGTAATCTGTTCCGTCGTTGAATATTCATCGCATCTCTTTTATTTCGTATTTTTCTTTTCTTTTTTTTTTTCTTCTTTTAATTCGATGATTACGATGTTACGTAAATGATAATGAGTAATTATATAACAGACATGTTTTAGTGAAAATTACTTTGTTATGCATAAAAGAGTGACGGCAACTTCGACGATATTATCGATTATCGTTACACATGATTGTGTAGCAGAAGCATTGATTTCTGACTTGTACTGTTAATCGGTTAATATCGCATAATATCGAAAAATTTTGCATCTTCCACGAGGTAATTGCGGAGAAGAACGTAATAACCGGCATTATACGAAATCTTGCCATCATTATTAACGCCAGTTGCCGTTCTTTAAGGAAAGTTGGTCACCTCATCGGATTGGATTTCCATTGGTTGATGGACAAGGAAAAAGTTTCGATTAATTCGTGATCAGTTGAATACACCGTGAACTAAAATTTGCGGTAAAAGTGAAATCAGGGAAAAAATAAAACGATTTGGAAGCAATGAAGTTTAAGTTTGAAAACTTGCTAAGCAATATATGTAAATTTCATTAAATTCCTCCACTTTAAGACTCGATAATCATTAGATTATTTTACATTTTTTGAGAATCATGTGTTCATTCAAGAATTAATTTAATTTCACAGATATATATGAGTGATTTATTTTCATATATTTAGAGATAAAACTTTTATTGATAATATAATTTTATACAGTTGAATTAAAATAAATTTATCTAACAAGCTTTTCCTTATATACGTAATCTGATTAATTATTAAATTATTAAAGATTATCATTAATATAAAATCATATTATTAATTACTATTTAAAATTGTTTAATAATCAGTATCATTAATTGTAATAAGAAGTTAATTAAAAATTATAATTCATTTAATAATTAATTTAATTATGAAATGATTATAATTTCGATTACGATCAATCAATAATTTATTTGTAATTATAATACTTATATTTTTTAAAAGTTATAATTTATTATTTACATAATTTTAAATTATAGATAATATGTATATAATTTATATGCATTTATTATTGTTGCAAAAAAAATTTCAATGGCTATACATATCAAAACAAAAATTTTTCTATCGATGAATATTGATCGAAAATATTTTTTATAAATGAAATTATATAATATGTATAAAATAATTAATTATTATGATTAATAATTAATAAATTACTAATAAATAAATTATGTACTACTGAAATATATTTTATGATTATTGAATTAATGATAGTTGTGTCTGGATATAACGATAAAAATAATTTAATAATCTTGCTAGTTTGCGAAAAATCTATCAAATTATCTTAAATATTTAAAAAAGATTCATGTTAACATTAGGATTTAACTATGATTTTTTTTTATATTATTTTTTTTGTTTCATAATAGGAGAAATGGTAGTAATTCAATAATCCAGTCAATTAATGTCAAAAGTCTTAGCATGACAGATTATTAGAATTTTACTGTCGAAAATTACTATCGCTATTAGAAGAAAAGAGAAGCGAATCCTCTTAGAAAGCGAATAATCTCTATTGAATTTGATTCTGAAACATTTATATTTTTTTCGACTGCTCTCAATCTCTCTCTTTCGTTTATCCTTCATGATTGTCGTTATCGACTAACTTTCGGCCATAAATTTAAAGAAGATTTACTCGCGATAAATTCTGCGTATTTTTCCATTTTTCGTGAATTATCGTTATTTCATTTCATGGCACGAATAATATCAAATAAAACAAAATTCTTACTTTTATACACAATAATTTAACAAGAATATAATTGCAATGCTAAACTTTCTATGAGTTATTATAAGTAATTTTTATTGTCAATATTTATCGATACTCCGAGTTTAAATGTTTTTCAATCTTTTCTTAAATAATGCTCCATCTTACAACATTCAAGATTTTTATATTATTTTTAATATAACAATTAACTAAATTTTGAAAAAATATAATATATTTCTATCCTTTCGTTCTATTTAGAACTTTATTATTTTTCTAAATATATTAAAATATTTAAAGTTTTATATGTTCTTCAATTCTTAAATGAAGTTAAAAAAATTCTGTGTACTTTAAGAATATAGAATTCAATCTAATTTATTTCTCCTAACAACGACATCTCGTAAAGAAAATTGTACACTTTTAAAATTTTTCATATATTTTAAAGTATTACATATTATTAAGAAAGATGGTATTTTAATTTTAAAATATTTAGATTATCCTTCTAAAAATTGAAAAAAAAAATCGATCTAAACTATCAATAATAATGACAATTTATTTCGAAATATGTTATTACGTGTTAATAAAACGCATAATAAATAAATGGAGAA